GAAGGAAAGGGTAAGAAAGCAATAGCTATCAACTACAGCTTCATGGAAGACATCAGTAATAACTACAAAAAGAGGGAGTGCAATAAGCAGCTTTTCAAATTCTCTTTGCTTGTTGTACGTAACTGCCTACTCGTGTGTGTTATCTATAACATACAGGGTGAGGGCGGGACCACCATGCTTGTGTAAAGGCAACATGGCATGGAACTTATTGTGCATTGGTGCAGGCAGACAGAGGGCAAAAAGGCCATCTATGGGGAACAAAGAGAAGTGGTTCCCTTTTATAGGGATTGAAAGAAGGCAAAGGATATTAGGCAGGAAACAGGCAAAGTCCTTGAAGTGTCCACTGTAAATCCTCAGGTGTCTTCAGATGTCCCAGGACCTGCAAAATTCTTTGTCCTATCTTATCTCCTTTATCACATCCTGTGCTTGCCAATAATAACTCTGGTGTGGTGCTCAGCTGAGCTCCCTGCTGAGAGTAGCACCTGTGCTAGCAGGCAGGTTGGGGGCTTGGGAATTCATGTCCAATTTGAACCTTACATTATCCACTCTCTTCTCTTTCCCAATATTGTTTTAATATACAAGTTGCTGGAGATAAATCCAAATCTGCCCTTGTCTTGCTTTGGCTACTGGGACATTCCTTCCCTGCCCAAACAATGTTAAGCATTTTCAGAGAGGTCATTGGAAGGGAACAGGTCTCTTCTGTGTATTTGGGGGGCCATCTGCTGGACTGTGCTGCAGCCAGTAGGAAGATTCTTTTGGCAGCACAAAGGGTAGCTTCCCACACTGCATTTCTCCTATGGGTGGTTTCTGAATGACATCCAAAGGCAGTACCTCTCTCTCTGTAGGCCTGGCCCCTGAGTTCATCAGCACAGCTCAAGAGCCACACCCTCTCCGACACAGACGACACTTTCCAAACTGTTTCTTTGTTTTGGGCTGGAACATTAATGTTCGAAGTGAATCTAATATGAGGATCTCAGCTAAGAGCAGTAGCTCTTTCAGATGTTTCTTCCTTGAGTCCACTGCCTCAGCCATTGAGGTAGTGGTTGCTCTCTTTCTGCTACTTGGTATTCTTTTTGAGACAGGGCCTCACTATGCAGTTCAGGCTGGCCTTGAGCTCATTTTGTAGCCCAGGCTGGTCTCGAAATCTAAACGATCCTCCTGCCTCAGCCTCCCGAGTGCTGGGGTTATAAGCACATGCTACCACGCCCAGCTTTGCATTTCCTAAACTTCACCAGGGACTGCTTCATCGTATCTCCATGAAAGCCACTTTGTGAAATCCCTCTACTCCAACTTCCTTCTCTAAGCACATTATCTGTCTGTGATCACCTATACCAGTTTTGCTTTCCTAATCTGTCCACATATATTTAAAAGATTTGTGAAATATGGAAGAAGTAGTACTACTGCACTATTAGAGATACAGGTACTACTCAATGTTACAAAATTTCCCGTTTTGTTGAATTCTGAGTTTAGAAGCCCTAACCACAGTTATAAAAGTGAGTCCTGTTAAAAAATATAGAAACTGATTCCCCATCTACTTCCTGGGGACAGAGCAGGTGACTCACAACCCTTCCGCCATTATAGTCTGTGTCTCTGCCCTTCGTGTGCCCAGTGCAGACTAGAGATTCTGGCTCAGGGACCATCAACTGCTAACACCGCGATTTGAGTTTGGGCCATCCCTGCGCATGCCCTGCACCACCTGAGGTACCAGAGCAGGCAGTCGACAAATTGCTGACACTGTGGTTCATGTCTGGGCTTTGTGCATGCCTTGACCTCCTGGAGATCACAGAAACAGGCGGTCTGTGATCACTGCCAGGGCAGCCCACGTCTGGCTCCTGTGTGAGTCCCAAGCTGCCTGGAGACACACAATCAGGCGTCCACAAACTGCTGACCCTGCAGTTTGTGTCTGGGTTCCGCCTGCGCCCTGAACTGCCTGGGGACACAGGACCAAGTGGTCTGTGATCACGCTACTAATGCAGCCCGCTTCTGGGTCATACACAGGTCATACACGTGCCCTGAGCTACCTGGGGACGCTGGATCAGACCGTCTGCGACCTGCTGACATGGTGGTTCACGTCTGAGACCTGGGAGAACTAGGTACACTCTACCAACTGCCAGAAGACTCCATACTAAGGAGCCCATCTTGGTGGCCCCTGAGGGGCAAGTCTGACCACCAACAAAACTAGGGATGCTAGTGACTTTTGCTCAACTGCCAGGGAAAAGGGAGACTGAGTGCTCTGCCTCCAGCATCAAAATGACAAGATGAAGGACTAAAACACAATCTCAGAACTCCACCCCACTCAGAACAAGTCCAGGAGACATCAACATAGGAGAATTTGGTAAACATGCACCTGAAATTGCTGAAATGATTGCAAGGAAGTAAAGAAACAACTCCAACAGACCACAGAAGAGGTAAGATCAGAAATAATCTCTCAGGTAAAAAATGAAATGACAATAATGAAAGACTTGCTCAGCACATCTAAAGAAAACATATAAAAAATAGATGAGCATAGGAAACTGATGAAAAGATTAAATGAACAATATAGCAATGAACTAGAATGCATGAAACAGATTCAAAGAGACATCCAGAAAATCAAAACTTCCATTGAAAGCTGGCAAAACCGCTTGAATGAAGCTGAAGATAGAATTTCAGATCTTGGACAGCATGGCAGCTAATGGCTGTGATACTACATACGCATGGAATCCTGCAATGTATATTGAAGAAGCTAGATTAAAATCATTTCAGAACTGGCCAGACTATGCTCACTTAACTCCCAGACAGTTAGCTAGTGCTGGACTGTACTACACAGGTATCGATGATCAAGTGCAGTATTTTTGTTGTGGTGGAAAACTGAAAAATTGGGAACATTGTCATCGTGCCTGGTCAGAACACAGACGACACTTTCCAAACTGTTTCGTTTTGAGCCAGAACATTAATGTTTGAAGTGAATCTAATGTGAGTTCTGATAGGAATTTCCCAAATTCAGTTCCTCCAAGAAATCCAGCTGTGGCACATTATGAAGCCCGGATCATTACTTTTGGGCCTTGGACATACTCAGTTAACAAGGAGCAGCTTGCAAGAACTGGCTTTTATGCCTTAGGTGAAGGTGATAAAGTAAAGTGCTTTCACTGTGGAGGAGGACTAACTGATTGCAAGCCCAGTGAAGACCCTTGGGAACAACATGCTAAGTGGTATCCAGGGTGTAAATATCTGTTGGAAGAGAAGGGACAAAAATATATAAACAACATTCATTTAACCCATTCACTTGAGGAGTCTCTGGTAAGAACTGCTGAAAAAACACCACCACTGACTAAAAGAATTAATGATACAGTCTTCCAGAATCCCACGGTACAAGTAGCTATATCAATGGCATTCAGTTTCAGGGATATTAAGAAAATAATGGAGGGAAAAATTCAGACATCTGGGAGCAACTGTGTATCACTTGAGGTTCTAGTTGCAGACCTAGTGAGTGCTCAGAAAAATAAGCACAAGATGAATCAAGTCAGACTTCATTGCAGAAAGAGATTAGTATCGAGGAACGGCTAAGGCGCCTACAAGAGCTTTGCAAAATCTGCTGTATGCATAGAAATAGTGCTGTGGTTTTTATTCCTTGTGGACACCTGGTAACTTGTAAAGAGTGTGCTGAAGCAGTTGACAAATGCCCCATGTGCTACACAATCATTACTTTCAAGCAAAAAATTTTTATGTCTTAATCTCACTCCACAGTAAGCATGTTATGTTCTCATTTTTTTTTTAATGTTCTCCTTATTATCCTGATGGAATGTGTGATGTGATGGAACTTTAAGTAATCAGCATTGAATTCCATTAGCATTTGCTACCAACAAGAAAAAAATGTAAACAGTAGCATTTTAGTTGGCAATCTACGCCTTGAATTTCTGGATTTTTCAAGTTATTGACTGCTATCATTTATCCAATTTTTTCATTGTTATTCACTTGAAATTAGACTAAAAAGGATCATACTATAACTGCTCATACTGTGTATTTGTAGTACGCTGACTTAGTTTCTAAAGTGTAAGTGAATTAATCATCTGAATGTTTCATTCTTTTCAGACAGGCTTAACAAATGAAGCATTCTGTATAAATGTGGAGATTATAGTTAATCTCTTCAGTCACATTGTTTTGTGTGAAAAAGGAATGAACTATTCCACACTGGTGGAAAGACAATTATTTTTAGATATTTGTCTTTGTCTTAGGATTCTGCCCATTTTCTTTGAAAATTACAAACATGTGTAAATGATTTTAAAAAGTGATTTTGCCATTTCTAAAATGGTACTTAATGACAGAATACCATCTAGCCAACATGTACTAACACTGATGTTAAAGATATATTAAACGTAAAATGCAAGTGGAAACACTGTATATAATATGAGCCACATCAAGGTTTGTGTATTTTGTATCTACAATAGAGTGAAAGATTTGGACAGATATATGCACCAAGTTGTTAAATGTGGTTTTCCTTGAGGGGCTGGGGTTTGGTCCAAGAGAGATTTTCAGGAGCTCTTCACCGTCTTTTCTTTTTTTTTTTTTTTCATTTTGTTGTTTGAAATTTTTATAAGTATGTATAACTTTTGTAACCAGAATTTTTTTAGAAAGTATTTTACTGATTTAAAGGCTTAGGCATGTTCAAGTGCCTGTAAAACTACTTATTGCTCAGCTTCAGTTTTTCTAATTCAAGAAGGGCAATTAGCCTTTTTGGTGCCAAAATAAAATTTAAATGTTTGTATGTTTTACCTGCTTTGTGGATGAAAAATATTTCTGAGTGGTAGTTTTCTGACAGGTAGACCATGTCTTACCTTGTTTCAAAATAAATATTTCTGATTTTATAAAATGAAATATAAAAAAATTTTTATTTTATTTTTTTTTTGGTTTTGGTTTTTCTCCGGTACCAGGAACCGAACTCACGACCTTGCGCTTGCCAGGCAGGCGCTTTGCCGCTGAGCTAAATCCCCAGCCCCAAAAGATTTTTAAAAAAATATAGAAAGTATCTGTAAAACCAGCCAATTTAATAATACTGCTGAATGACATGAAAGGCAAGAACACCCCACTGACTGCAGGCAGACAGAGGTGTTTGATTAGGCAGAGGTGGGCAGTGACAGCAGGCTGGTGGCTGAGAGGCACTTTGCTTCCTTCCTTCTGCATGAAAACTGACTCCCAGGTTGACTCGATGCTGGCTCTAGTGACTCAGTCTGGCTGAATGGATGCAGACAGCAGCAAGTTGGCATCACTGTACAACCCTGCTGAAAGGGGATGACCACCAACGTAGTAGGTAAAAATAAAACTTTAGCAGCAGTTAAGTGAAAAGTCAAAGAAAGGATGTGGCCAGGCCAGACCTATGATTAAAACATCTGTTGAACAGAAGCTGAATCCAGATGAAACCCTGGCCACAGGCAGATAGGTCAAGGCCTCTCTGGAGTTAAGGAGGGGATAGGCGAGGACAGGCTGGCACCAGCTGCCATCTCAGCTCTGTCCTGAAACATTCAAGGCAGACTTCTGTCCAGCAGTCCTTGTGGCAAACCATATCAGGGGTCTTTATTCACAGCAGAGAAAGTGGCTATGGAGTTCTGTTTCCCTGATCACTTGTGACTGGCACTGACGCACACAGGGCTGTGACAGAGGCTTTCCAGTGTACACACACAGCACCAGAACCACCTGCACAGGGCTGCGCTCTGGGCCTGGGAGAAGGTCACAGCTGTAGGGAAGTGAGACCTCTACCCGGGTGCTGGAGAGCGCTGGGACATTGCTTCAGCAGGAACCACTCTGGGAGAGCCACAGGCCAGTGTGGAAGCCCCAGTCACAAGGCTTGCTCCACAGCACTCTGTTCCTCGTCCTCTGTGTGTAACCAGCTCCAGTCCAGAGCCTGAAAGTATACGTACATTAAAAACATCAGCTCATCTTTTCTCTTCTAGGGGCAAGCAGCACAGTGTGGAACTATGGTTAAACCTTTTGTCAACACAGGTCCTGACACTGTGTGGGCTAAGCTTCCTTTGGACTGAAATCCTGTGACTGTGCAAACTGGAAAGGTAACTTCAGTCCTGCCTATAGTTTACAGCCCTCACATACAGGCCCACTGAAGGCAGATGGGAGGAAGAGCTAAGCTCAGCCACTGTTTCCAGTCTTTCAGAGGAAATAGACTCAGAAGATTTTCTTTTCCTCTGGCAGAGTGTGAGCAGTGAAATAATCAATATATAGTACGAGGGGAAGAGCAGCACGAGACAGAGAACCCACACTCTGGAGAAGATGACTAGCCTGCTCAAGGACAAAGGAGCCATTTAGGATCTTCTCCACAGTTTAAGCTTTACCGTCATTACTTTCCCATTCTAAGACTGACATGCTGAGCTCTGCACCCCCAAGCTCAGAGCCATGACAGGCTCCTATCTGTCACCGGAGCCCAGCAGAGTACCCAGCACACATCAATAGGCAGCAGTGGTAAACAGAGTGCAGGTAGGCATAATGGGAAAATGTTGCCTCCTCCCAGGATTAAAATCTCATAAAGATTAATTAAATAAGACACATGATGTACCTGTAGCATGCAAAAATTAATAGCCATAATTACTAGACATAATTTAAAATGTACCCGAAAGTCCTGAGTATATACCGAGGCCACAAGAGACTGCAATTAGCACTGGTTGGCTTACTTTCTTTCCCTGTTTCACTGCAGAAGGGGAGGCCAGGCAGGGCTGGGTTCCTGAGGGAGTTACCATGAGGGCTGGGGCTCCCAAGGGAGTTACCATGAGGCTCTGGTCCTGCTCCTTCACGGTGTCCTGCATGGCGCTTTCCAGCCTGGAGCACAGGGAATGCGCTTCAGCCACGAGCTCTTCACTGTGGGTGACAACCGAGCGGTCGGACTGTTAGAAAGAGGTCATTCACACGCACTGCAGCTATTACTACTGCTTTAAAATATGTTATAGAGCTTTTCACATCATTTTTAAGACAACAGAGCAATTATTTTGGCCATGCATGCCTCAAATTAGCACATCATTGACTGGATGTCAATGCACAGAACCAGAAAGGCAGCCCATAAAATTCTGAAGCCAAGTGATGGAACAAATTTTACACTTACACTACAGTATTTCTGCTGCACGACACCATAGCTATTCCTCAAAACTACCAGCCCATCTGGTTAAGTACTTCTTAGAAGCCAAAATGTAGTCAGGAGCATTATTGTTCAAAATAAAGAAAGTACATATATTGCTAAGAATAAAAAAAGCAAAAGAACTCTCTTTTTACTTGTGCCATTGAGCTATACCCCCAGCCCTAGAACTCTTTTTTACTTACTAGATAGTAGATTCTTTCCAAAATTCCAAAAAAATCTAAAGCTTTTCCCCAAGTCACCTGTTTTCCAATTTTTGAAACAGAAAGGAAAAAAACAATGGACAAAGCAATTCATCAGGTTTCCAGATTTCCTTCTGATCTGAAATGCAAAGTTCTGGAAACTTACTTACTCTAATCTGTTATCTCTTTTCTGCAATAAGAAATGCATGCCTCCTATCATAAATGGGCCACTATGGGACAAGAAAAATCTAATAAACTATTCTTCCTTTTCTGACCTCAGCTCTGTGACATGGAAACCACCATGACCCTTGTGCTCCCAGGAGGGCTTTTCTGGGCTTTGAGAATAACACTGGAGGAAAAACACCCAGGACAGGATGTCAATGCCCTTTAATGCACTTTACTCTGCAAAATGTGACACTGTATGTGGGAAGGAACCCAGGTTTTTTTTTTTTTTCAGCACTGGACATGGAACCTGGGGCCTCACGCATGCTAGGCAAGTGCTGTACCATGGAGCTACATCCTAGGCCTCTACAGCATGTTTTTTTCAGCCTTACTTGCTATTAGGTTAGAGGTGTGGTATCAGCCTGGAGGGCAACCAGAGAGTGTAAGGCCTGGGTACTACGCAGGCGCCACACTGAGGGAGCTGTAAATGCCTTGAAAAGCTCAGACGTGGAGTGGAAAGCCACTGCAAGTCACTGAACAGGTAATACTTGGCCAGAATGGTATTTTGGGAGGAATGAAGGCTTGGCAGCAGAACAGTCAGGAAAGCCCTGTCAGGAAGGGACCAGAATGTTTTGCTCACAGTTCTGCCATAGTGGCCCAGCCAAGAGTAGGCAACAAAGGGATGAACAGATGATGAGAGACCCTGGGAAGAAAAACAGTAGCTTGGTAAATGGAGGTGAGGCAGGAGGGCACAGGCCAGAGGACTCAGGCTGATGAAGAGAACTCATTGTGAAGGGTCACTAAGTTTTGAAGCACTTTCAATATCCTTCCTAAGCAATTAGTAACCCAACCCTTGGACAAAGAAACTATTTAGTTAGTGAGCTATAAGGGACAGTGGGAGCCAAATATATGGCCTTAGGCTAGTACAGAGGTGTGCAATTATTACAGTGTGTAGGTTTAGAACACTTCCATCTCCAGCATATACTACATTTAATCTTAGTCATAAGGCCAAGAAGTGACAACATATATATGACAAAGAGAAGCAGGCATAAAATCATTGGACAGATGTTTCTCAGTGACGACAAGCACTGCCATCCCCAGCGGCTCCTGGTGTGCCCGGGAACACGCACTGCTAACTTTGACTTACCTTTTCTTGGCTGGCTCAGGTAAGCTGTTGGAGGCAGTAGAAGGCTGGGACATCAGCTGACCAGAGTGGCTGAGTCGAGACACATTCATGCTGTCTGGGCTTCCGCTGACAGGACCACGGACCTTGCTCTGAAGCACAGAACCAGAAAGGCAGCCCACAAAATTGTGAAGCCAAGTGATGGAACAAATTTTCACTTACACTACAGTATATCTGCTGCAAGACACCACAGCTATTCCTCAAAACTACCAACCCTTATCTGTCTGTGACAACAGCTGGGACTTCACATTCAGCATCAAAGTATGCCAACAGGTGTGCTTTCTGAGAAAGGATTGTAAACACTGGAGATGTGGGCACCTGTACTTCTAGGCTTTATTTCATTCATGTGACTCCTTAGTGAACTCTTACACAGAAAGAAAGGAGAGATATTTCTAGCCTTTTCCAAGCAGAAGACTGAGCTACATGAAAGGTTAGGGGGCTGTGACCTGTATCTGCTGTGGCACAGCAAAGGGAAAGTGAGATACTACAGCTCTAGGGTGCTGCGGCCACCCACACCTCCTCCTACTTGTAGCCCATGCAGGTTATCTACTGCCAACCTCTCAGCACTTCGGGCCACTTCCCTTGCTGAGCCTCTAGTCAGATGTCACCTGTCTGCCTCAAAAATTCCTCCCTCTCCCTGCTCCTTGCGCTCAGTACCACCCAGCCCTTGGCCCTCAAGCTATAGACCCTCCCTGGCTTAATCTCCTCCCCTCCTGTTAAACCAGACTTTCCAGTGTCAACTCCAGCCTGTTCCTTCTCAACCTGCTGTGCCTCCCTTCTGTCCAGCACCTGGACATACCCAGCCACCTCTTCCTCCTGTGCTAAGCTTATAAGGCTGCGAGGTAGCAGGCCACTCCCACACAGCCAGAGTCAGCTGCTCCCCAAATTTCTATGCACCTAGGAGCAGCCCAGCCCCCTCACTGTGTAGCCCTCACTTAATCCAGTTTTAGCTGACACAAGGTAACATCTCTAAAACACCAATGGGGTCACAGCATCCCATAAGGTCCTTTGATCTGAAAGGAAACCCTATCCAGTTTCTCCAAATGCTACTTCCACAAGCCAGCTCTGACCCCTCCAATTTCATCCTCAGTGATCACTCCTACCATCTAGAAGACATCAGGACTGTCCAGGCCTCCAGGCCTTTGATAAAGCAATGCCTGCAACATCCTTCTGGGAAGCTATCCTGCCATCTAACTCCTATACATCCTTCAGAAACACTGCTTGTTCCTTCCCCTCTACAGAGGAAGCTGGGGTCCTCCCTGCTTCCACTGCTCACTCGAACATAGCTTTACAGCATTTCCTGCTCTGGATGGCTAGCTGAGCCCCCTGCCAGACCATGACTCCTTGAGACAGGTGCAGCCCCAGGAGTGGCCTTCTCTGTATGCACCTCAGCTTCTCCCAACTTCTCATCTCATCGTGGTTCCGGCTTCATTTCTTACAGGAGGAAATGCTACTTAGCTCTCCCAAGGCAAATCCACTACCGATGCTCCTGGTCAGAACTGTGGGCATCAACTGTGCCCTCTCTCTAACACTGTCAATCTCCTGCTCGGCCCAAAGGCATGCTCCAGCCTCCAGGCTGACTGGAACAAGCAGCCCTCTGCCCAGTCTCTTCCCCTCCGCTGAATTTTCTGCTGATTGAACTGCTCTCTCACCTCTCTGCCACCTCTCTACAGCCCTTTACAACAGGGCTACCCTCTGGCAGCTCCAGCTTCTACTGCCAGCTGTGCCCTGTGCATCCCCTTCCTCCAGCTATCTGGCTTTTCATGTCCTCCTGGGGGCTGTCTGTGTGGTCACAGGTGCACTGAGGCAGATTATGTGGCAGGTGGAGGCTGCACTGCTAGGGTAGCACACACTGGGAGAGTGTTGGCCCGAAAAGAAATGGCTATGTCTTTGCCCTGACCTGTCGCTTGACCTTATTTAGGAAAAGGGTCTTTGCAGAGGTAATTGGGTGAAGGATTCCAAGAAGAGATCATCTCGGACTATTCAAATGTAGTTCAAGTCTGGTGACAGTGTCCAGAGGGAGACATGGAGGTCACAGGACAAAGACAGATTGGAGTGGTGCAGCCAGAAGCCAAGGAATGCCTGGCACCCTAGAAGCCAAAGAGGGCAGGGTGAATTTTCCCCCAGAGCCACAGAGGGGCATCATCCTGCTGATACCTGGAGTTTAGACTTCTGTCCTCAAGACCTCCTAGAGAATAATCTCTATGGTTTGAAGCAATCTGGTTGCACCAATTAGAGCTGCCATGAGAATAGTAAGAGCAACAGGCACAGCCCTTTCTCTAACCTCTGCACCCAACCCTCGCTTTATGCCCTCTGTCACAGCAAGTGACCTGAGTAGTAACTGCCAAGGGATCTTGGGTGGCCCTGCGGCCCATGGGTGGGAGGCTGGGTAATGAGGCACTGTCACTCACACACGCGATCTTCAAAAGGTTCCAGAGCTCCTTCTGCCGCTTCTCCTGGAGCTGGACGACAGTCTTCTCATCCTCATTCATCAGACTCACCACCTCTTCCACCTTGGGCAGCAACTCCAGGGCCTTCTGCTTGCAAACCACAGTTTTACTGTGAAGAACAAATAGGATACACTCCTGTGGGCTTCAGGCTAGAGCAAGCATGGCACTATCCCCAGCAGTTAGGGGTCCAGTGAGGACCTGGAACAGTTTCCCCAACAATGATGGCTCCAACTGGAGCAAGAGCCATCGATGGCTTCCCTGTAGCTGAGCTGCGGCGCTCCCTCCTACCCTTTAGCTGCAAAGGGGCTTCATACCTCAGCTGTGTGTAAATCACTCGCACTTTTTTCTCAAAGCCTTGAATGGCCTGAAGTAGCAACCGCACCATTTCCTGACTGTCACCATCTATTCGCTGGTCTGGAGAAGAGAGTGGCACAGTTGCTCCAGGAGAGTGGCAAGGAGGACCAGTGCCTCAGAAATGAGACAGAAGGAACCAAAGCAGCCCAGATCACCTACCTCTTGGTTTTTCCCTTAGTCTCCTGTACAGCTCTCTTGCTTGCTCCTCTCTGAAACATATAAGTAGCTCTGTGTGGATTTAAGGTCAAACAGGCACATATACAGCACTGCTAATTCTTTCTTTCTTTTTCTTGAGATAGGGTCTTGCTATGTAGTTCAGGCTAGCCATGAACTCACTATGTAGCTCAGGTTGGCCTTAAACTTGCGGTGATCTTTCTGCCTCAGCCTCCTGAGTGCTGGGATTATAGGCATGCACCCCCACCCCCACCCAGCACTGCTACTTATTGCCAGCACAATTACTGACTTCTAGACAAAAGACTTAAACTGAGTGTGAAACAAAATCTTGTGCTTGCTTATCTATTTAATCTTATTTGACCCTTGCCTTCCACAATAATCAGGTCAAAAATGTCTCCTCATATGACTCTAGCGATCAGCAAGAGGATAGTAGGACAGTGCCCCTCTACCCTGCTCATTGTATAATATGTCAGGAACTGTACATGGTTGGACTAATAAGAGAGAAAGACAGACTAAGGAAATAATGATCTCTGTTCCTGAGATCTGTAGAACTAAAAAGTATCTTGTGATTCAGATCTGAGGTGCACCATCTGGCCTTTTCTCTGTGAGCAGGAGTCCCTGCAGTCTGATGACACCTACCACCTGCCTATACAAACCACCCCTCAGTTAGCTTCATAGCAAGATGGACTGGGACAAGAATCCTCCAGCTCCTTGGCCAGCCAGCAGGCACCTTCCCTGCCTCAGCACATCCTCTCCCAACCTGATCATCATGCTGTGTGGCAAGGTCTGATATCAGGACTGATCACAGGTCCTTATTGACTGAGGACTAGTCTTTCTGGTGATGTCCATAGCAACCAAGTGACAAAACTCAAATACCCACAAGGTTTAACAAGGAAGAAATAGTCACACCATTCTGAATTCCTCCTCTACTTGGCTTCTACAATGTGACTCCAGTGCTCTCCCTGGGCCTGAGCAGAAAAACATGCCCACACTGAAAACCTGAGCCCGTGGAGGGGTACAAGCTCCTATCCTTTTCCCCTAACATAGGGAAGACTGGCAACCCTCTAAGACTCTGATCTGAAAACTAGGGAACTAAGAGCTAAAGAATTGGAGGACATATAAAACAAATAATTAAATTTCTGTTCAGATGTATCATCCTAAGAAGCCTAGCATCAGGAAACACTGCTAAGTTCAAAGTGACAGACCCCTCAATAAACCGATCCAGACTATCCACACATGGGGGCTACAAGTTACTTCCTCCAGCTAGTGTGGGTTTGCCCAATGCCACATCCCCTCATGGAGTCAATGCCAGATACTTGAGAAAGGCTCAAATGGACAGTGTCCATGTCCAAACTCCTATGCTTGCCAGGTTCCTCCCTTTCTATAACAATTCCTGCTCTTTGAGCCTCAAAACCTGGTAGACCAAGCAGGCATGTCCGATAGGATGGTAAAGGCCACTTGTATTTTATAGTCTTTATAGATTACGAACTGTTTCTCAAGTGCATTATCCGAATGGATCCTTACAACTTTGTGAGATCAGCAGGGCTTCTTTGCCACTTAATAGCTTTGAAAACTAAGGTTCAGACTGACATGATTTGCCCTGGCTCATCTCTGGGACATACACAGATGACTGACCAGGGGATAGGCTCTATGCAGCATGGTACCACAGCCTCCTGGGACTATCCCAACACACACACAGAACTCTGCCAGGGGCACTCACAGGTCATCCAGTGTGCCGCCCTGCTTGCGCCCCATCGGGCTCCTCTGCAAGTCCACGATGTCAGTCTGAAGGGCCATCATCCGCTCCACCAGACACTTCACCTCGTTCTCCTAATGAAAGGGCTGTGCTAATGTCAACTGATGTAAAAAGAGCATATTGAGAGGCAACATCTGCCAAGGGTGGCAGGGGGAAGACTCTCCTAGCTCCAAAGACATTCTCAATTGACTGGCCAGAAGGAATGTGAACTATGGCATCAGAAAGAATTGAGTTTGGATCCTGCATCTACCACTTTTAGCTGTGGGACCCTTGGGCAGTTACCTAATCTGTGAGCTGCACTTTGTGCTTCAGTAAGATAGGATTCTAATAGAGCCATTCAAGGGATTAAATATCTGGCACAGAAAAGATAGCCAATGCACATTAATACTCTGTCCCCCCTTAATTTGTCCATCTCAATACCAATCCATATGGGGAGGCCTGGATCCTGTTATTTCAAAGATGATGTGTGTGAAAGCAAAGTTTGAGAGAAGCACAGTCCCCCGTCTATGGCTAAGGAACTATCTGTAGGATATCCACCCTGAGCATGAACGCATCTCCCAGGACTATTATCAAAACAGACATCAGGACACAGGGAAGGGCATCCAAGGGCACAGGGGAAGGTGGTGGGGAAGCCTTGGAGCCCAGGGGCTTGTTTTTCTGCCAGGTACACAGAGTCACTGGTGTGCTCTCCGTTTGTTTCCAGAACGTTCAGTTACAGTCTAAGTGGACAGTGAGGAAAACTTGAATTCAGACACCAAAGACCAAGCCAGTGTTTGACAAGAATGAAGCCTCACCCACACCACAAATACAGAAACCAAGTTTGAGTTTCCTACCCGCCCACACAACTCCACTTTCTGTTCCATTTCCTTCCAGGCCAGTAGCAGTTTATCTGATGCTGGAAAAAAAATTTTGGGGAAAAAACAAATGAAAACAAAATAAAAATACCAGAAAACCAAAACAGAAATAAGCAACTCTATTGTAACAGGAGGAAAAAAATCCTCAAAAAGAAAAAAACAAAGGGTCTCTTAAATTCATTGTGGAATACTCACTGATCCCGAACTCAGTCTGCTCACTATACTTCTCCAGGTCGATCTGGATGCTGGTTTTAAAGAAATCCAACTTGGCCTTGAGCTGCTGAGACATGGAGGCCATGGAATTCTTCATTTTGGAGAGGCAGCTGTTATTCCGGAGGAGATTCATCCTGCAGAGACCACAAGAAATGTAATGCTGGACAGCTCTGGGATCCAATACCATTTCCTACAATAACAGAACCCCATTAAATGTCAAGGGAGGTCCTCACTGTAATAACACCCACCATTCCTATTACTAAAGCAGCCATTTATAACCATAAGGACAATTTCCTGGCCTTTGGTGATACATGAGGTTCTACACCAGCTGGATAAAGGGCCAATAATTTAAATTTGTCCTAACTGGGGACAGAGTCACTAAGTTCCCTACATAATCAGGGGAGTTTTGCCAACCCAAATTACAATGAGTTTCTCTGAAGTCCAAATTCTGCGCACAGCTTGGCCCACCCAACCCTCAGGTCTACACTCTTATACCACATGCTAACCACACTCACCTCATTAGGCTCTTGTGGGGTAGAAGGGGCCTCCTACAGCTGGCCTAGCCTCACCACCTCCCTCCGTCCAAACCAGTGTCTCTCTCTTATCTCTCAAAACAGCTGCCTCTGGTCCCTTCCTCAGCCACCTCCCAAGGGCCAAAGCCACCAAGCAATTCTAAACAAAGTCAAGCACACTGGGCACAGTACATGGCAGCTCGCTGTCCCTGCTGCAGCCGGTTGCAGTCCTCCTTCAGGGCCTGGACGCTGTGCCAAACCTGGCCCCACACTTTCCTTAGCTGGAAGAAAGGGAGATTCCTCTTCGGCTCCTGAACTGTGGACAGAGACAAGCAACTGTCAGAGAATGACTCTCCTGCAAAAGGCCACACCCTCCCTTGCCACTCACTAGCCCCTGAAAAACTATTAACTCCTATACTATCACAGAACTTGTCAGGTATTATACGTTTTTTATCCCTCAGCACTGAACACAAAGCCTTTGCACTGAGCTACATTCCCAGCCCTTTTTTATTTTTAATTTTGAGGTGGATCTTCCTAAGGCTCAACTGCCCAGGCTGGATTTGAACTTGCACTTGATCTACCTGCCTCAGCCTCCTAGAAAGCTGAGATTACAGGTGTGCACCACCACCCTTGGCTCCCTACGTATATTTTCAATAGAAACTCAACATTTATGACATTTGAAGCATTATTATTATTATTATTTTGTTTTTTTTGAGACAGGGTCCCACTATACAGTTCAGGCTGGCCTTGAGCTCACTTTGTAGCCCAAGCTGGTCTTGAACTTGCAACGATTCTCCTGCCTCAGCCTCTCAAGTGCTGAGATTACAGGCATGCGCCACCACGCCTGGCTGAAGTATTATTAAATTCTATAAAAATGCAATACTGGCCAGCAGTACTGAAGATGATTAAATAAGCAGGAAGGCTGGAGATCTCTAAGATCTGTTTATTCTGAGTGTGTGGGTGTGGGTGTGGGTGGGGACACAGGAGTGGCAGAGGCATTAAAATGTTCTTGGGAATACTTATGCAATGGGACACTGTCAGCCATTAAAACTGTCAGTCATTAAAATGTGGCAGTTCTATATGCACCAATGGTGGAAACATCTGGAGAACACTTCTAATTCAAAAGGGCAGGAACAGAGCAGCATATGCTGTATGATATCACCATCTGTGCAGGAGAAAGTGCATTGGAAGGGTACCTGAGAATATCACAGCAGCATTTTTCCTGGGAGGGGAACTCACTAGTAGGGGAAGCAGGCCAAGACTAATATCTTTCTTGTTACATGTTCATTCTCATGTACCTTTTGAGTTTTAAAAAATATCATGTATACATGCTAATTATTAAAATATAAATGCAGCTTGAAAAATAAATCCAATGGCTAATAGGCTGGCAGGCAGTATTCTCTGCTCTGAGAGTGACATTAACTGAGAGAACCTCTCTCCTCTGTGCCTGGGTCACTCTTTCCATACCCTAAGGACCGAGTATACAGATTTCCCTGCTCACAACCTCCCTTGTCCCAAGTATCATAACTGATCATTTTTGAAGATGTGATGCTCTTACGGATGCAACTGACACTTTCAGGTTGGGGTCGTGGGGAGATCTGAGTCTCATAGGTGATTTTACTATTGTCAAAGAGGAAGACAAGATCCATGTCCAAAGTGCGGCCCTCGTTTGGCTGCAAAGAGATAACGATAGAATGAGATCCAGTGGATCTAACTCCTCCCTTTTCCAACTAATCCTAAGCAGCTTCAGAGCATTTTCTGCTGTTACCAAGAGTATCATCTTAGGCCAACAGGTACAGAGCATACATGATGCTTTTCTTCCCGATTCCACATATACTTCCTTTTATGCCAGTTTTCTGAAGCTAAACCTTATTTACAATGCTTCGTGTTCTATTTCATTCTGACTGCCTCTCCCACGAAACTCACTGTCTACTTCATTACGCAGTGACTGCTTCTCCTATGTTAACTCCATCCATTATGCTGACTTACGGGCGCTTTCATCTACATTGCTGCAATCTACATGGGGACTTAGCTCAGTGTACAGGGATAATTATAAAAGGCTTTTGTTGACTCAAAAGAGCAGAGCACCATTTCAGCAATAAAGTCAAATGAAAGCCACTCTCCATGGTCTGGAAGGAACAAGTCAATCATGGAGTGATATCTGTCTGCTAGTGGGGCACACAGGGGACTCCACAGTACATCTTACAGCAACAAGCAGGCACCTGCACTGTGTGCTTAACTGCTTCACAAGGTAAAGTAGCAATCAGACCATGTGGTTCGTTTCCTACGAGACAAAGTCAGAGAACAGCAAGGAAGCATGCAAGTAGCCAGTACTCACTTTGCCATCAGAAATACACTGAGTGGCAGGCTTGTTGGGGATCAAGGCCAGACCTGCCTCTTGCAGCAGCTCCTGGTCCTTCTCTGGGATTCCTGTGTCCTCCTGGATTCTGGCCTTCAAGCTCTGCAGACTCTCATTTTCTGTTACTGGGTAGGTGTGTATGGTGCCTGTGACCATGTTCAAGATATGAACCAGCTGCAATACAATGCAGATTTTAGGAGAAGCACAGGCTTTACAGTGGTGCCCATCTATGTACCAATATCCTCCACTACTCCCGTTTCCCAGCCCCACAAGGCTAAGTCCTAACTTGAGAAAGGGAGGCAAGCAGCCGGGCTCCTGTGTTCCAGTCTTCAATATTCCAGTCTATCCACTGCAATGGCCTGGCCACCAATGTTAATTACTCAGTGGTGCCATCCTCTTACTTGTGGAGACAGGCTCTCCCTGGACCCTTTACTTGCCACTCAGCCACCTAGGCATGGCAAGCTTGTCCTACATATCTCCTTCTTGTCCCACTGTTCCTGGGGCCTCCTAGGCTGTGTGCTCACCTTCAGGTTTAAGATGTCATCCAGGGCCCGGAAGCAGCCATTGGACCCATACTGGGGGTCTGTGCCCCTCTGCCGGGGGTGCCACATAAGCATCAACTGTAACCATTTTTCCAGTCTCTCGGCCAGCACACTAAGAACAGGAGCAGAGTAAGGGGCAATGCCTCCTGCCAGGCTTGGGCTGTAGCACAGGCAGATGTGACAGTGTGGCCTGGGGCTTGTCTTGTCAGGGCAGCCATAACAATTAAAAATGAAAATGGACAGATCTCACAGAAAGAGCCAAAATGCTACCAACCAATTTAATTATTTGGTACTTATCCCTCTTTCCTAACCTCCCACTAGAACAGTTCTTCCCAGGCAGGGATTTCAAGCATGGACTGGCAAGCAGATTGATCTCTGCTGGCTGCATAGGAATGACCTTCGAGGAGGCTTTAATGTGCCCCTTGGGGCTGGGAGGCAGCTCAGGGGTACACACAGCACTGCACAGCATGCATGGTGGGTGCCTTTGCTTCCATCCCCAGCGCTGCAGCCAGGGGTGGGGTGGGGTGCAGCACCACACAGTCTAGACCAGGGCTCTCCAGGCTTGGGCCTTGACAGTACTGGTTTGTGGCTTGTTAGGAACAGGGCTGCACAACAGAAGGTGAGTGGTAGGGGAACAAGTACAGGTCCATCTGGATTTACAGTGGCTCCCATCTCCTGAGTGACTGCTGTCAGGTCAGGGAGTTGACTCCTCCTGTGAACCGCATGAGAGTGACCTAGGTGGTGAGCTTATGAGAACCTAACATAATAATGAAGTGCACAGGAAATACTGCATTGCAGTCATCCTGAAACCACCCCCACCCAGTGCATGGAAAAACTATATCCCATGAAACTGGTCCCTGCTGCAAGAAAGGTGGCCTGCTGAGCTAGATCCTGTACTGCCAGGCTGGTTAGTCCTGCCCATAAGGAGCATCTGGTGGGTGCACACGCAAACTTCAAACTCTTTCCTGGCCTCGAATCTGCCTCCTGGAGGCCGCAGATCCTTCCCCGAGGTCTCGACAGCTACTCTGCCTCACTAGCAAGCCTCTGCTTGCCCCAACCTCTACCCTTTGCATTTTCTTCCTCCATCCTCTTCATCTGCTCATGTTCTACACATCTTTTCAGAACCTCCCCAGAAGTTCCAGCACAGGCAGTCCTTGCACATAGAACTTCTCCCACCCTCAAATATTCCTGGTCCTCATTACCCATGCAATGCAATTATGTGTGACCGCCTTGAAAATGTCCTTTGTCATGTGACCCAATTCTGGTAAATTAATTACCTGCTTATGTTGTGGATCTAAGACTAGACTGAAGATTTACTTGTTGACTATGACACAGTTTTAGGTCAAATAGTGCAAGGAGAAATAAGGTGTAACTCCTATCTTTAAAAGGCCAAGACTGGTCTCACCTCAAGCACCATAAAAAGAAAAATGAAATGAAAAGGTGATTTCTGCGGAGATGAGGGAAAGGAATCTATATGTGAGATGGATTATGACAAATTCTCAGTCTTACTTAAAAGTTACCAGCTATCACCTCAGATTTGCATTTCTGCAAAAGGAAGGCAAGAGTTAGATGACTGGGCCTTACCTGTTCAGATTGTTGGGGTAAGGTAAAGAACTTGAGAACTTCACTACTCCATTTAAGTCTTCACTAACAACGATGTCTACCTCACTCTTCTGCCGGACTTTTGAATGCCTGCAAATGAGCCATCTGTTAAGTATGTGCACTCAGTGGTCAAGAGTCCTTTCCCTTTGTAACATGACATTATAATTCTACAGAACACTCAGGATATCCCTCCCACGGACACTTAATCTTCTGGAATAATGGTCAACAGCCTGGAGTTACGGTTTTTATCTAGATGCTCCCCAAAGCCTCTAGGTGACTGGACCTAGGACTGGAGAAGGACTCCCAGGGACTTCTGGGAGATGACTGGATTGTGGGGATGTGACATTCATGGTGGATTAATCCACTAATGTGGGGCACTGGGGGCATGGCCCAGAAGGGTCCATCTATCTCCCTCCTCCCGTGACCCTTCTCTCTGCTTCCTGCTGCCCTGCCATGACCTGTCTTTCCTCTGCCAGGACTTGTGATGAAACCACTAAAAACTGAACCAAAATAAACCTTTCCTACTTACAGTTGTGGGTGTTGGGTATTGTCTCAGTGGCAAGAAGGTAACTGAGATACCAGGTTTCTCTGAGAGTTTAAGAATGGTGGGTACTGGAGCTAGTGGTGTAGAGGCTATGTCAGACTCACCAAGACAACAACAACAACAAAGGGCAGTATACCTGAGTATGTTTCTAAAGGACAACCTAGTAGACCCATTGAGACTGTTTTATGTCCTGAGTTCTGCAGACAATACTGCTGACCCCTGTGTATTATCCTTTCCCTAATTTCCATTTCATCTATACAAGTGCTCATGTTTCGACAGAGAGTAGAATTAGGTCTTCCAAACCAAGATCCTGCATACATGTCACACTCATATGAAATAAGCATGAAACACACACACACGTACTTCCCTCTAAGTATACACAGGGAAGTATTTTTTCTAAGGATAAATGAACTTTTACTTTTCCCGACTTAAGGACTTCTTGGCATACCTCAAGTAAAACTTGAAGAGAAAAAATTTTAAACTCAATGGCTTCCAGCTTTCCTGATAACAAGGACAACAATATAAATGTGGTAAACTATGTGCTTGGCTCTCTTTGCTGCTATGAAACCCCATGCAATTTGCCACTTGGTGAGGAAATGAAGATCAGGTCATCTCTCTAGGGTCACAAGACTAGAGAGTGACAGAAATGAAAACTCAAATTCAAAATCTGGTGTTCTCTCTACTCTGCCTGATATACCAATACATTTTTTCCCAAAAGAGTTGGGAAATTCAAATAAAAAGTGCTTTAGTCCTGACCAAGTGTCACTGGCAAGCAGGGACCTGGCCTATGAGGACCACACAGAACAGCCCCACACAGCAAAGGCTGCTGGGTACAACTCCAGGAGAAATTGTGATGGGGGAGTCAGGCCCACGGTTTTCTAACTAAAGAGGAAAATTCTGCTACAGAAAACTTAGCCTGGAAGTGGGAAGCTAGAAAAGGGCACACTAAATAAAACACATGTTGCTTAGGTTAGTCCTGAAATGGATTACAAAGTGGCTTTGCAATAGAACTATAAAACCCAAGTTGCCTCTGCCCTGAAATTCCTTTCTACCACTTCCTTAGATGGAGAGGGAAATATTTAACAAAATTGTCTAAGGCACAGAAAAAGCCAGTGGCAGAGGCTCTACTTCTTCCTGGGTTTCTGAGTAGCCAACTTGCAGTGGCCTCCTGGCTTCCCACATCCTCTGAGGGAAGTTCTAGGAAGAAGATTCTGCAGACAGCAGGCTCACTACAGAGATACTCAACCATCAGTGATATATTCCTAAGCAGCACTGGCTCTTCTAGTTCTTATGGATTTTAACTCATCTTGTTAGAAATCATGGAAAAGATTAACATTTGAACTTGTTACAATAAATCCCTTGGTTAAATGAAACCACTACAGATGTACAAGTAATTCGGAACTACTTTTATGATCAGTAAGTGTGACCATGAATTAATTAATTACCTAATTCTCCAATGTTCCAGAACCTCTGCAGCTAAAGCAGTGGTGCCCTCTCGGTGGTAATTGCCACAGGAGGGCGCTCTCTGCCCTTGCTGGGCACACCTTTGCATTCCCTAGGCCCAGGCTCTTGGGGAACCACTTTCTCCTAGAATTGATTTCCCAGGTCACTCACACTTTATTCATTTTGATAAACATTTTCATGTAGTAAATGCTTGTCCTTTAAAAAGTTAATGTTTTTACCACTTCCAGAAAGGTATTTAGAAAGACCAGCCAGTGTGGGCAATTCGTGGTGAGAAGTGGTGCATATTTATGCCTGCTTTGGGCGAGCAGTGTAACACACATCAAAGCCCTTACAGGATGTATATTCTTTCATCTGTTAATTCCACTCCTAGGAACTTTTCCTAGAGAAATAACTGTGGGTGCACAAGGATCTCCCTACCAGAATGTTATTCTAGGTGTTATTTTAAGAAACCAAAGTTGAAAACCACTCAAGCTTCCAGCCACAAGGCACAAGTATAGCAATTCAGTGGAATTACAGACATTCCAAGTAATACAGAAAACACAGAAACATTCAGTAATAGTTTGAAAAGCAGGTTACATCAGAGTGCACATAATAACGTTAAAAAAATATGTAAAACGTACACACATACACACACACTGGAAAGTCTGGAGACACTCAAAAATGTTCACAGTAATTGTTTCCAGATTGTCTTATTATATATGTGATTCTTGCTCACTTTTTCCATATTTTCCAAAAATATAAAATAAAATTAGTCTGATACAACTGAGGGGTGATTAAACTGTGCAGTATTTTTAGGCTCAAGACAAGGGATTTTTTGTGGTATAAACTGGCTCTAAAGGAAATTCTCATTGTGAAATCTTTTAAAGACATCTGCAAGACAGTGTTCATACAATGCTACCACTAGTGTAAAAAGGGGGAGGATCCATAATATATGCCAATTTGATTGAATGGGTATAAAATGTCATAAAAACCAGGGTGCCAAGTACTTGAGGGGAAGAGGCCATAAGGGTGAGAGACTGGTACAAGACTTCACTATGCATTTTTTATACTTTTGAAATTTATAAAACTTGCAAACTTATTAATGCTCTAAAAAAAAAGTAGGATTAAAAAAATTCTGAGCAACAGCAGCCTCATTTAAATTAGTGTGACCTCTTAAGGAATAATTTGACTAAAGATTAACTGATTTGGGGGAGGGGCTGGGGATTTAGCTCAGCGGCAAAAGCGCCTGCCTGGCAAGCGCAAGGTCGTGAGTTCGGTTCCCGGTACCGGAAAAAAACCAAAAAAAAAAAAAAAAAAAAAAAACTGATTTGGGGGAATATTAGCTTTTAAATTATCCATATCAGTAAGAGTTAACTTTCTTTTCCCCCAGTACCTTATTTAATTGATAAATAAAAACTTTGTATGTTTATCATTTACAACACCATAATTTGCGAATATTCATACACATGTTTTCTACATGTTGTAGAATGAAGTAATTAACGTATGTATTACCTCATGTACTCTGTGATGATTAACTTATATTTATAAAAAATGCATTATTTTTATAATTAGTAAATAAAAGGCAGGTGTGGTGGTGTATGCCTATAATTCCAGCTACTTGGAAGGCTGAGGCCTTCCTTGGAAGGACTGAGTTTGAAGCCAGGGATGGCAAATTAGTGACACCTTATCTCAAAAAAGGAAAAAGTTAACAGAGTGGTTTCTGAAAACCTTAACTGCATCCTTTGATTTTTTAAATTAGAAAATAGTTTTTAAATAATTTCTTAGGTTCACATTCTAAGCCACTTCTTTATACTTTCAAAACAAAAATTTAGCAGGGAATATAGCTCAGTGGCACCGTACCTGCCGGACAAGTACAAGGTCCTGAGTTCAATTCCTGATACCTCTCCCCCCCAAAAAAGACTCAAAAAATTTATATTCAAGTGTAGTGAAATTAGTCAGTGGTAAGTTTTCACATAAACAGCTGTCTGGCCTGTCTGCACACGTGACCTTTACTTCTGTTTATAATACAGAGCACTTCCCGTTTAGGTGCTAGAACAAGGTCCTGACTTGTTAATGAGTACAGAGCAAATGACACTGATCTACTACCTACTTAAAGATGTTACTTAATAGCCACTGTTTTCCTGGGTGTGTGGCGCTCATACATGGGTCCTACTGGGCCTCCTTCCCAGGGACAGTACAGCCAGCTCAGGCAGTCTGAGGCACACGGTGGACTAGGAAGATGACAAGGATAAGAGGAGCTGCTCTCTCCCCTAACAGCTCCCCCACCCACTCACCACTGTACCGGCTGCCAGTTGGGGAGGAAAGGCCGGAAGCCAGTGATACACTCGAAGGCCAGGGTGCCAAAGCTCCAGTAGTCCACAGTCACTGTGTACTTCTGCTGCTCCAGCAACTCAGGGGCCTGCAACCACAAAAGCAGGGACACATCCTGTCAGGAAGGGTAGCAGTCATCTTGCCAGGGCCCATGCTCTCTGGGCTCCATCCTGGGATGGTATGGCTACTTGGGAGGAGGTGGCCAGTCAGGTCAGCTGATATGACCTAAGGCCTGCTGTGTGTACTACACGTGTGCTTCAGTGCCCTTTGATAATGATGGTTAGGGGCTAGGGATGTGGCTCAGTGGGAGAGTACATAGCTAGCATGTGAGGCCCTGGGTTCCATCCCCAGTGCATGCATACACACACAGCTGAAGGATGGCATCATTTTAGGAGTTTTGAAAACTAACTCAGGGTAGTGCTCAGTCCTGTGTGCCATGTAGAGATGGGAAGACAGTTTAGTGCCATCAGAGAAAATGCTACTAAGCTGCATTAAAGGCAGACCCATGCAATGGCATGGGATATTTACAATCAGGTAGGAAAAAGCTAAAGTCATGACTCCTCGTCACGGTGGAGAGAGCTGGGGTAACCTAGTATGGTGACATGGCCCAGCTGAGCGCAGTCCCATTCCAGAGAGGACCATCACAGAGCCAATGGGACCGGCCATGGTTACTGTGGAAATGTGACACTTACACAAGGGCCAGGGAGCCCAAACCCAGAGAAGTGCAGGGATGGTCAGTCAATGCAGGGGTCTGCCTAGGGATAGATGTCTGAAAATCTGACTCGGCATCCTGGGCAGAGTGTAGGGCTGCTTTGGCAAGCTGCTGCTGAGCTGCAGGGATTCCAGGGGTGCTGAAGAATGCATGTAGTGACACCTGACCTAGACACTGGGATGCCTCCCTGCACAGAGGAGTTGCCCACTGCCCTAGCTGGTAGGATAGGCAGGAAATACAAGCACACACAAAAAGTCATCAAGTCCTTTCTTATTTAAGAACTAAATGTCATGCTTAAGCCCATCTGGCCCAGTAGCTTTCAACTGTAGACCCCATTACAATCATAATGTGACTGGCCACTGTCACAGGCAAGCAGCCCACGATGGCTCTGAGAGTGCTCTGCCAAGCGCCTCATCCCTGCACCACTCTTTGCAGGCGCTAGTGACCTCCTCCTCCCCTCATGGTCACTACTCACTCCTGTCCAGACAGGGCACTCTCCACAGTGCCAGCAGTGGTCTTTTCAGAGCCTGGGCCTTTTCCAAGGTAAAGCCCTTCAGTGTGACATAGCCTAAAAGCTTTAGCCCAGCTATAAGGGTCCTTGCCTCCCTCGTCAGCTTCAATTCCAGGCCCTCTTTTCCTTCCTCCAGGGCCCAGCCACACTCTCAAAGTCTTCCTATACACCATCCCTCTGCCCAGACCTCCTCTTCCTCTATACCTCTGCCTCCTCCACTCTCCAGCCCCTTCACCTCCTCATCCTGCAGGGTGTGGGCTACACCAGGTCCTCCTACAAACATTCCTTGAGTGCCCAGTGCTTTTTCTGAGTTTTATGGCTATCACGGCAATGCCTGTTTTCTTGTCAATCTCTAACATCCTGAAGAGGTGGAAAATTCGTATCTTCTTTGCCAAGGTCTTGCCAGTACTCGGCACACAGATTATACTTGGTCCATATTCCTGAATGAATGAGGGACTCAAACAGAAGCCCAGTCCTCAGGCGATGTAAGGTAACAGAAAGGAGAGCTCAGCCTTATAAATCATGTGGCCTCTAGACCAGTGTGAGTCAAATTAAATCCCTTTATTTCCAGATAAAATATTGAGGCACAGCTAGACTGCAGGATCTATGTAAGGACACTAGCACAGCCCTTCTGATGCCAAAGACAAGGAATCCTTCCAGATGGCATCTGTTGGCAGAGACTGTTCATTCAAGTGAATTATGGTTCTACAACAAGCTCACATGACAACTCCTATGTTTTCAGGAAACATCCATGGAGACAACAAGAGTCAGATGTGAGACGGTAAGGTAAAGGGGGGCACCACAAACATGCCACCAGAGCAACTAATAAGCAAACATACAAATTCCACTTCTTACCAGGTACTGCAGGGTCCCCACAAAAGAAGTACAAAGACTGCCCTGATCCAGTTCCTTGGCATATCCTAGGTCAATAATTTTGTGTATTAACTGAAAAAAAGGAAGTAGAAATTTAAGGGTTATAAGAATACACTGTCCTTCCATCAGGGCAGAGACATTTCTAAATTCCCAAGGGTTACAGGAGGCAGATAACAAAGGAGAACGCCCTCGGCTCCAGGCAAGAGAAAATGCATGCTGTAAAGATGCTAGGTACATGCTTTGTCTTGCTCTGCCTCCAGTCATTACAGGGAGGCCAATGTTAACAGGCCACACACCAGCACTCAGGAGCCCTAAGCATTGATATCTACTAGGAGAGACCCAGTCAGCCCCTTCTTAGGAAAGAGTCCTCGAATCTTGCAACTACTAGCAAGAATGAGTGTGCCCTGGAACAAAGATGACCCTGTCACAGTCATGGGTTGGGTCTATGCTGCTGACAGAAGTGCTACAAGGAGGGATGAGTGACCTTGGAGTTGAGTTAGTCCACTCTACTCAGCTGGGCCTTGCTCATCACCCCTGATGAACAAACATAGAGGGTAAGCCCCAGTGGCCACTACGCCTATTCAGGGGACCCCTCAAGACAATCGCTGAGAGCTCTGGGGAAACCCGGGCAGGACTGGGCTCAAGATGAACAGGTACCAGTTCTGAGGGCCTCCCCTCACCCATATCCACAATCACTGTACACTGACTTCCATTTTAGAATCAAAAGTTAACACTCTTAAAACAAATGGAAAACAAAGTCTGTTGCCAAGGAGTGTTAATCCCAGAGGCGAGGGCAGAGGCAGAACAGCAAACATTATTTTATCAGATTCCTATAATGTAGGCAACCAACACTGTGATCCATTCAAACTTACCTCAGTCTACCAGCAACAACTATTTTGCTGAATTTTGTTTCAAATCAAAACACTGCCAGAGAATCAAAGCATGACTCAAGGAAATGGGGATATAAAAACAAACCTATGGAGCAGTTCCTTCTCTACCAGGCACCTCCTGGGGCAGCCTCAAGACATCCTGAGGGTCACTCACTCTTTGCTCTCCTTGCTGCAGAACGATGTTTTCTGGTTTTAGATCCCGATGGATGATTCTGTTTTCATGAAGGTATCTAAGTGCAGATGCTGAAAGGGTGGAAAAGGAGTGAGTTTTTACTACACCTAGGAAGCGCTTTTCATTTCAGAATCTCCTACTGTGTGTTTCTGAAATGCATGGATTGCTGGTGCACACTCCTGGTGAAGGGAAGAGGCCTGGGCAGAAAGCTCCTCGGGCAGAATAAAGGGGACCTGGCTACATGAGTAGAACTCTGACTCCCACTAGATTCTAGCTTTTCATGTGACCTCCTCCACTCCTGCAAAAATCAAAAATGCTTTGCACCTTGCATCCACGAGGTCATCAGCTACAGCTGGACCACAGCATCCAAACTCAGAAATGCAAAACTCTCAAGTCTTATCACAGTATCCCAAGCCCTCCAGGTAAAGTTTACACTGATAAAATCTGAGAAGGGGACTCCCCTCATCCAGAGGCTCAAGAGCCTAAATTCTGCAGGTGAGCATGGGAGAAGGGCTCTTTGGGCAGAGACTACTATGGTCATAAGACAGACTCAAAAAGGTCGAGCTGGCTTCAAGGAAGAAGTGGGGAAACAGTGGGGAGACCTTCAACCTTTCAGACAGTTCACTGTGTATTACAGTGAGCTGAGTCTCCTGGCAAGTTCTGCAAGTTATAAAAGGTGTCTAGAAAGGAGCTCTAGAGAGTTCAGAATCTAGCAGGGAAAGAGGCAGCCTGTGCCACCCTGCAGTGAGGCCACTTGACATCCAGAGCTTCTCCCATGTGAGGATAGTAGAGGAGGAAGGCCCTGACACATAGTGACTGGGACTTGGCCATCTGCAGCTCAGACCCAACAAGGGCCTGATAACCAAGATAGGATGGTTACTACACTGTAAGAGTTTAATGGCTTTAAGAGAATCCCAGCTAACTGTACCACAGAAGAGAAAAATGGGAGTATCAGACAGAGAAAAAACCATCCTTACTGGGAGAGGATGTGACTATATGCCTAGAGAATTCAATAGACTAAAAACTGCAGTGTTTAGAAAGTTGACTGGAAACAAACAGATGTATAGCGGCTGGGGATTTAGCTCAGTGGCAAAGCGCCTGCCTGGCAAGCGCAAGGTCATGAGTTCGGTTCCCGGTACCAGAGAAAAACCAAAAAAAAAAAGAACCAAACAGATGTATACAAATCAGTAACTTTTCTCTGTCAGCTTATCTAATTGAAAAGGAAAAAAATCCCATTCATATTAATATCAAAAAAGCTCCACAACTAAGCAATACATTTAGCAGAAAAAAAGTAGTGCTATGTAATGAAAACTACATGGCATAAAGAAAAATAGTGCAAAGAAGAAGAGGGTTTTTTTTTATGGTAAAAGAAACAATAAACAAAAGTAAAGAGGCTGGGGGAAAATACCCGCAAAACAAATGCCAAAGAGTAAGTATACCTAATAGACAAACAGCACTTAGAGAGCAATAAGAGCACCACGTAGTAGAAAAACAGGTGAAGATTAGGAGGGGCAATCACAGAAGAGGAGATTCAAGTGGCGATCAATTATATACAAAGTTACTCAAGCTCACCAGTAGTCAGAAAATGCATCTCTTCAGCCATGAAGAATTTAAAATGAGGAATGAAAGGCACTATTCTACATTGCTGGAAGGAGTAAAAATGGGTCTTGTTTTTGGAAAAATACAGTATTGTGGAGATATCTATTAAATTGTAAAATTGTTCTAACCATTAGCTTCACCTTTGGGATTCCAGTTTATAAAATCAAGAGCACTGTGACACAAATATAAGGATATTATACCTTCTGCATAGCATGGAATAAACTAATTAGAAATAAAGTGAGGGGCTGGGGATTTAGCTCAGCGGCAAAGCACCTGCCTGGCAAGCGCAAGGTCGTGAGTTCGGTTCCTGGTACCGGAGAAAAAAACCAAGAAAAAAAAACAAAAGAAAAGAAATAAAGTGAAAGTCAACAGTAAGGGAATGGATGGACAAATTATGGTTGATCCACATTATAATAGGCAGCTCCTTAAAAATAACAAGTTTATAGTTTTTCACTCAGAAGGATGGAAATGATGTACTGCCAAGTGAATGGTATGATTGGTTTTTGGTTTTTTGGGGAAAAAAGTAAATAGAAAGTAAAAACAATACTGAGAGGTTGAAAACTAAGCCCTCTCTGTATGACCACCCAAACACACTTCTCACACATAAACACACATATACACATGCCTCACACACATATAAACACACTAATACAAACACAAACATAGAAACACACCCACACAAACACATACATATCCCTCACACAAACACATGCAAATACACACACGCACACACCAGCAGCCCATGGACAGAGAGGGTTCAAGCATGCTCTGCAAAGACTTTCAGGTCAGCATTTCCTAAAAGCGCAGCAGAAAGAAAGAGCTACACACAGAAGTGCATGCCATCAGAGTTCTAGATTAGGACATTAGGACCCACTACAAAACTCTGAATTATACCTGCCTTTTTAAACCCAGGCTTTGGTCACAAAGTTTCAACATTTCCTAGTTCTGTATTTTCTGTCTCTTTTTGGTACTGGGAATCGAACTCATGACCTCGTGCTTGCCAGGCTGGCGCTGTGCCACTGAGCTTTATCCCTGGCTCCTCCCTTATTTTCTTTATTTTCCTATGTGACCCAATAAATTCTCTCAGGCCTAGCTACCGACCAAATGAAGTCAGAGATGCTGTTTTCCCCACGTCTGAGGAGCTCCCCTCCATTTTTTTCTCAACTGTATTACTACCTTCTAAAGCCCAATGTTCCTTCAAAGCACCTCCGTTTTTGTGTTACTAATTTTTATTAAAGAATCAAAGCCAAGTATAATAAAACTCTAAACAAATGCACTTACAACCCCGCAGATAGGGACGACAGTCTTACTGAATCAAAGCTACTGATCAGCGGGAGCGAGGCCACATGATAACTTGGGAAGTTTGTCACAGACAAGTGTGGTGACACGTATCTTTAATTTCAGCAATCTAGGAGGCTGAGGCAGGAGGACTGCAAGTTCAGCCCCAACCTGGGCAACTTAGCAAGATCTGTCTCAGAAAAATTAAACGCAGAGGGGGCATGCTAGGGATATAGCTCAACGTGACAGCCCTGAGCTCAATCCCCAGTACCACCAAAACAAACAAACAAAAAAACACAACAGTCTGTTCCCTTTGGGATGCACAAAAAGACCCATTCTGGCAGATAACAAACTGCTAAAGAGTATCAGGATATAAAATGGTGCCTTGGTTCACAAATATTTTTGTTTGCAAATAATATGGTTCACAAACAGAAGCATTTCACAATATTTTGTTTTTGCTTGCAAACTCTGCATCAGATGACAAACATATCCATGGCCATTTTTCCAGTACAAACACAAATGTTCCAAAATGATAGAACAAATTAAGTTCGTGAACCAAGGTACCACTGTACACAGAAGTGTGGGTTGGGCTGTTTTAAAGCAGACTATATGAAAGTTGAGACTCACTGTAATTTCAGCAAGCTCCTAGGCTGAGATTAAGATAAGGACCCAGAAGCCAGAAGTACATCATCTTAGGGGGACACCAGGGGACAGGCTCAGGTGGGGTGTCCACACAGCCCCTAGTGAGGAGGAAGAGCACAATATCTTCTACACCTCGCTGATGGGGAACTGCCCCAGACCTTCAGAGAGAAGGATGCAGCTAGTACTCTAAACCCTGATGACTATCAATAGCTGTCTTTCCTGACACTTAGCTACTATGCCAACAAATTCTTACCCTCATTTCAAGGGAGCCATTTATTCTCCATATTCCTGTGGGCTTAATAAAGCCTAAGATTAAAGAGTCTGAGGGCCAAAGTTATATGTGGGTTCTTGGCTGAGAGGATGTGCCACCGCTTGGCAGGAGACCTTCTGCTGGCAAGGCCATCTGAGGGATCCCTCATGCACAGGGCTTTGGTCTGACTACAGTTCACCAACAGTGCCCAAGGAGCAGTGTCGGGAGGTGAGTGGAAACTACCTCAAGCTGAGAGAAACTAACTTAGTTTAAACTGTATGTAAAATGTGATATTAAGATTAAGTAAAACAGTGCTGCATCTGGAAGTTTACAAGAAAATCTAAGCCCCTACAAGGCTGGGTGTGAGTGCAATTCTGTAATCCCAACAGTCTGGGAGGTAAGGCAAGAGGATGGAGAGTTTGAGCTCAGTCTGGATAGCTCATAAACTTAGCAAGGGTGTGTCTCAAAATAAAAATTTAAAAATACAACATGGGCTGGGCATGTAGCTCAGTGTAAGGCCCTAGGTTCAATTGCTAGGAATGCAAAGTACAAACACCAAATAAACCCCCGGTAATAGTGGTAGTATAGACTTACAAAACTTGAAAACCACACCATCACAACACATAGTTAATGTTTCATGTTCCAATTACACCATCTGAGGTGTGGGATTGCGCACTATCACCCCGTAGGCACTGCCCTATACCATGCTGATTCAATGACACTGTCTCTGGTATCTCTTAGGACAGACACTGCACAGAGAAGTCAGGTGAAGAATTCACCCCAGAAAGTAACATCCTTGTCACTGTCATCCTTGTCAGGAATGACAAGGAAGCTACCTCGGCTCTCCCCCTTCACTTGTAAGGCAGGTTCAACACCTAAGTGAAGAATGTGAACATCTTGTGGTTATTACTGCACCAGAACTCCAAATCACTGCCCATTTATTTTCTCAGATGACAGAGCCCAAGTAGGGAACAGATGGAGCACCTGGACTTCGTGAAAGGAAGCTGTGTTGGAAAGATGTGTCCACAAGTCCCTATCCACCATGTAATAGGTACCAAAGCTTTGCTAAGCCCACTTCAGAACACTTGTTCAAGATATATTCAATTGAGAAGAATTGGAAAAACAGACTGACAACTCAAGACAGACACCAGAAGAAGAAAGGCTGTCACCAACCACAAGTCCAGGTTACCACTGAGTAGATAGGCAACAGGATGTTCATGACTCATCAAAAGTGACTGTGTGCCTACTGTGTGCCAGCCAGTTTGCGCCACTGGACGTGCCAGACAAAACAGACTGGGAGGC